TATTACATGTTAAATAATTAACTGAAGTTCTGAACTGAGATGGGAAAATGAGAATTACAGCTAATTGCTTTCACTAGTTCATTTAGATAACCAACTTAATTTTAATTATGTTATTAAATGATACTATCTTTACATAGTTTGCCTAATCTCTTCAAATAAACCAATATGCTTATAGACTTTTAAGAAAAATACCATCAAATCTCATTTTCTCTTGCATTTTCAGTAAATATAAAAGCAACTGAATATCATGTAATAACAGGAAAATTATTTCTAATCATGTTATTTCAACAATAAGCTATTGGGCATTACCATACTGATATTACGCTATATATCATATAGGGATATTACATGAAGATGCTTTACTTGTATTATCTTAATCACCCTAACTAGAAGACATACAATTTTTACCCCTATTTTAATAACAAAAGATGTTAACTCACTCAAGGACCCTGGTCTCTGACTTTAACCACTAAGATATAATCCCACTGATCCTAGAAAACGTATCTATTTTTTTAAGTCCTATTAAATTTTACAAAGCAGTATGAATTTTGGACTTCCAAGTAAGATAAAGAGTTAAGATCCCACAAGTCCATATACAAGATAAAGGAAAACAAAAAGTGTTTAAAAGTGTGCAGAAAGAAAGCAAGTTAACAGCAGCTTTGTTTCCTAATATAACAACATACTTACTACATTCAGCCTTTCTTACTCTCAAAAAGGTGAAGAACTGCTCTCTATTAAGGGAGCTGCAGTTCAATCCTTTTCTTCTAACAGTCTTTGGAAGGTATTCCATTGCGTTCAAGCCTTCAATGTTGTAAATGATTTTCTTTCCCCTCTCTGTAGGCAGCGATTCTCCCCAGACAACTTCAGTATGGCCCCTCTTCAATGTAGCCTATCAATGCAGTATGAAACTCCTTAAGCCTTTTCAACATCTAAATGGGATTTTCTTCCTTATCATTTAATTATTATTGAGCTCTTCCATTAGTTCTGTTTTCTTTTCCTTCTGGAACTCCTATAACATGTAGAGTTTTAAAACAGTGTTACCTTTTCCGGATTTATAGTCTTCCTCATGATTTTCATGTGTTAACATTTTTGCCTATATTGGGGGATATTTCCCAAATCTGATCTTTAAGGCTACTAATATTGTTTTTATTCATTTATTGAACTTTTGCTTTCAAAAAAATTATTTTTGGGGACTCCAGAAAGTCTCTTCCATATTAATTTTTAATTAATTTTCCTGAGGGATATTTTTAAGTTAGGTACTCATCTGATCCCTTCAATCGTCCTAGATATATATGCTAACTATTCTCTCAATCTTCCTCTCCAATTGACATGAGTGGTTATTTTTCATTTAACTTACCAGGTTTCGGGTCCAGATGTTGGGGTATTCCAAAGTGAGAATCCCAGATGTGTTAGAAAACCATGCCCCATATTATCTTTAGAATTACTTTCCATGATAGCCAGCAAGCTGTCCTTCCTGGAGGCACAAGAGGAGGCCTCCAAAGGCAATATATTCTGTTCCCTTCACCCTTGAAAATTCCAGAGAATAAGAAGTGGGCAGGTGATATACATAGGAATAGCAGGAAGGCAATGGAAATAGGCAAAAATGTTAACACATGGAAACTGAACAGACAGGAAGGTATAAAACCAACCTTGGAAAACAAGTCTATACGGTAAGTAGAAGAAAGCATAACTGTCTTTTAGTAAGAACTTTATAGCCTGACCACTGCCAACTCTGCAACAAAAAAATCTGATGCTTAGAATGATTCTTTAATATCTCTATAACTTTGTACTCAAAATTCTACATTATAGAATGGAGTGTCTGATTGACCAGAGGTCATTACTGACTACCCAAAGGGTAGAAAGAAGGAATATCTGACTCCACCTGTTTCTGTATTTCTCCCTATTGTGAACATCCATAGTTTCAAATCTCCAAAACCAGGAATGAAAAAGGAGAAAAAAAAAAAAAAAGAAAGAAACAAATGACAGATATCCATCATTATTACTTCCAGAATTTATATCAACTGACTGCATGAAAAGTTTATTCCTACAATTTGCTTTTAAAACAGTTTCCAAGCATCAGCATTTAGAAAGTCTCAAAAAAAAAAAAAATCACGTTATAAATGCAGAAAACAGCATTTATTTTAATTTTCTTGAAACTATATTATGAACATATGGAGAAATTATTAAGTTTTAAAGGCAGAAAGTGTGATTTCTGGCATAAATTGGGTTTGTCATAAACAATACAAAAGTATCATAAACATCACTTTAATCAATTTCATGACCTGAGTCTTAAGTAGCTGCTTTAATTATACAAGCACTTAAGTTGGTTTTTAAATAACCTCAGTCTATACTTTCTTATTTTTCATGGTAGCTAAATAGTAGCTTTAAAGGGTTAAAAACTTCTAAATTGGTATTTTTAAGTGTCAATAAGTGATGAACAGAGAAAACCAGGAAATCTATAAAACAGAGTAGTCAAAACTCAAGTTGAGATCTTAGCAATAATAACAGCAGCAATTAATATCACTTAATATTTTCTGAGTATGTACAAGATATTCTTCTAAGTACATGTATTTGCTAATCCTCTCAAGAATCCCAGAGAAAGATGTATATATAGTACTCCTATTTTACATATAATAAAACGTGAGAGGTTAAGTAAGTAGCCCCTTATCTCACCCACAGCAGAAAACTGGTGAGGTGAGGATGTAAGACCAAGCATGTCTTTATGGCAATCTGCCTTAAAACTCCCCTTAAGCCAATAATAATATTTGCTATTATATTTCATATATAGAGGTATGATTAATCTTAAGATATAAGATATTTCATCATCTAGGCAAAAACCTTTAAAAATCAATTTTGTAGACCAGTCTTTGAAAATTATCATACTCAAACAAAAAGGAAAACAGGCTTTCAATACTTTTGTTCAGTAGCTAAAAACAGAAATTTTCTTCATAGAAACACTTAAGATTTCTTTTACTATGCTCAAATTCAGTAAGTATTACATAGATGCTATCAGAGATTCCAAAGGATTGAGAAAGTTCCTGAAAGGTAAGTATCAGAAAGGTGTACAACCAATCTTGAGTTCCCTATTACATAGTTCAATAGCAAGTGTATCTCAAATATATTTTGATCACAGTTTCACAGGTACTCTTCCCTTTCCCTCAATTCTTATAAGGCCACAAAACTTATAACAAAAGAAGAGCAATATGTGCCACTGCCTACTGAGGACTGTGGGAATTGGGGGCTGCAGGGATCCATTCCTTAAATATTCAAGCACTATACTTAATCCTATCAACAGAACCTAGATAAAAAATGGTATTTTCATTGTGTACTTTGGGAGGAGGATGAAGAGGAGAAGAATATTAGTTTCAATAATAAATTCAAAGCACTGATAAAAAAAATTCATAAATATAGGTATAAAAACATAATTCTGAAGTTTAAAAAGGTGAAAATCGTGTAAAATTATGACTAATGACAGATAAAAATCCAATGGATATGACGATAAGATGACACAGAAATAGTGATGACAGGGATGCTAAAAATCTAGTTTAAGAATAACTATCAAGTTCAACAATAGTGATTACATACAAAAGCAAGTAATTTAAGAAGTTTTGTGGTCAGAAAAAAGGATAAGTTCAAGCTTTTCAAGGTAGTCTTATGTAAGAACTTGGCACAGGATATGGCAGAGTTAGTGAGAAGCTCGGGAGGAAATGAGAGGATCAACCCAAAGTAGAAGATGCCAGAGAGCTAGATGGGCAGGATGTCCAAAGGTTTATGTCAACAGATGCTGAAGTAACCAAGGATAATGACTGGGAATGTGATAAAGAAGTTGTGCCAGATAAAGCAAAAATTTGAGGAAAACTGAAAAATATATGGAGGCTGGAATAGATGTCTATAAGGGGGAAACCACTATTAAGAGGAAGTCTTAATAGTGGTACCACCAGTACATTTTTTAAAATGTTAACATAAAGACAATAATGAGGACTGGGGTTGTGGCTCAGAGGTAGAGCACTCGCCTAGTGAGGCACTGGGTTTGATCCTCAGCACCACATAAAAATAAAATGAAGGTACTGTGTCCATCTACAACTGAAAAATAAACATTTCTTTTAAGAGATAATAATGTATTAATTTCTCATGTGTGAAAAAGAAATACTGAATGACTATAAATTAAAATAATTTAGATATTTAAAATGGTTGAAAAATTCAATAAGGTTTGAAATCACTTTTTGTAGCTTAAAAATTCTAAGCTTTTAACTACTGGATATAAAACACATAATCAGGAATGGGAAGACTCTGCAGCCAGGTAAGTAATTTGCAAAAAAAAAAAAAAAAAAAGGGAAGGGGGCTGGGGGCTGGGGTTGTAGCTCAGTGGTAACATGCTCTCCTAGCATGCATGAGGCACTGGGTTCGATCCTCAGCACCACATAAAAATAAATAAAGACCATCAACACTAAAACACATAATCAGAGCTTTCCAGTTCTAGTGAAACTGGCTGGTGTTCAATTTTAGTAACTTACAGAGAAGGTCTTTGGTTTAGTACTAGATGACTTTCTCTGAACCAAGCTATCATATCCAAATACGCCATCTAATTTAGTAAGAATTTGTACTTTATAACAGCTCTCATTGGTGTAAGGATGGGAAGTTTACAGTCTTTTAATAGCCTATAAATTAATTAAACTTGACGATGGTAATCCATCAAAATTTAGTTCTACACCAGTTGATGTTTGATTTGCATTCGGAGAGCTAATGTTGTGAATTGTGTTCCTAACCAACAACTTTAGATTCCCATCTACTTCCCTTTTGATGGAAAGGAATTCCTCTCAAAGAAGCAATAAATCTTCACCTTTTAGGGGGGAACATTATTTATACCACAGTTTAACAAACACACACACACACACACACACACACACACACATCCCACAACAAACACACAAAGTAAGCCTTCATTTAAAATTGTACTTTAAATTGGACTTACAATTTAGGTATCATCAAATAATACTTACCAATACAGACATCAATTTTCCCTTTAATAGCAGCTTCATGCAGAGGTGTATAGTTCCAGTTATCCCTGGCATTTGGATCAGCTCCTTGGCATAGCAACAGACTCACAACCTCAGCATGGCCAAAAGAACAGGCATTATGAAGTGGAATGAGACCTCCATCATCACGAGCATGTACATTAGCACCCATCTGTAGTAAGTGTTCCACAACATCCTTCCTTCCAAAACCTAAAAAGAATGTGGAAATGTTTTTATACATTAAACCAATTTTGTAAAAAGAGCCAACAAATATGCACTTAAATAGTCTATACTAAAAAAGAGCCAAACAAAATACAAAAAAATATTAGCTCCGTTCAAAAGGATCTTCATTTCACAGAACCAGAACTATGGAAGCTCTTTTAATCACCCACTTATGCAGTTGATTAAAAAAATATTCCTTAATCACTTGGTATGTGGCTGGGCAATTGTGCCAGAAATACCAAAGAATGAGACAAGACTCCTATCCAAAGCACTCACTTTCCTCTCAAGCTTCACAAGGCAAAATTACATGTAGAAAACACATTTCTATATTTTAAAAGGTAAAGATTACTTAAATACTGCCGACAACCAAGGCTAAGATATATCATAATATTCACCATTACATTTTTAGAGAAACTGGAGAGGAATGTAAGTATAACAGAAATAGTCTGGTAACGGGATTCTAAAAAGAAAGATTAAAGACTATGTCAGAATATCTATTATTGAGATAGGAGGGTCAAAATATGTGAAGTAGATGGTTAAGTGAAACTATTCAAGCTTGGATTTACTGACTAAAAATATCACCAGGCAGATAAGTGGGAATACAGGCATTTGAGAATATAGAATCAGAACATCAATAATGAAACAGACTGAATTTGAAGAAACCCCCACCTCTGAAATTTAGAGCAACTTCCTCATGCTGAGAAACTACACTCCCAAGGCCTGACAGGCACCATGCAAGCTGAGAGTGGAGGCCTGTAACACAAGCTAACTAAATCTATGTATGTATATTTCCCTTTTGTCTCACTTCCCTACTTGATCTCCTTTAAAAGCTTCATGGGCCTTCAGAGATTTCAAAGATGAAAGTTTTTGAAATAATAAGTGTCTTCTATTTTCCTTCAAAACTGGCTTTGAATAAAACCTATTTTTCTACCAAGCTGAGTGAAGTACCCTAGCCTCTCCTCAAAAACTACTGCCAGTACTACTGTTGCCTGGTAACAGAAAGAAGCATCAATTTTCAGACAGAAAAGGGGGAAGGGCCAGGCAGAGTCTGAAGCAAATGCTTAGAAAGGTAGAAAACACCAAGCAGGACAAGAATAAAATCAAGGAGCAAAAATGTTAAGTAAAGTTCAGCATAAGGATTTAGTGAGATCAACAAAGAAGTGAAAAAAATGGCCATTTATAATTTTAGAGTAATTTTAGTACAATGATAATATCACAAGCTACACTGCAATGAGATATAAAAGGAAATTGTACTTATTATCATTTTATAAATGATTTTTTCCACCTTATATTTTATTAGGTCTTATTGGCTACATATCACTACCTCCATGCTACTATGTACTAGGTAATGTTGTGAGAAAATGGCACCTTACATAATGAAAGTCATATTCTCCTCCACTTTAATGCATACATTAAATAAATGAGAACCATATGGACAATAGTAAGGAAAAATATTTATTTTAAGATATACGCTCCATGCTATCTATAAAAATTCATTCATTCTAGGAAAGCAAGAAGAAAAAGTCCCTAAGTTAAAGATATGTTTCCACAGACATGAATCATAAAGTCAGAATTAGGTTTTCATGGAAAATATCATTCTAATTAAGCTGCAAATTTTGGGTGAAAGATGTCAATTTTTTATTAGTAAATGGAAGAGCATAAATATAGGATGCAAACTAACGTTAATGTCACAATCCTACTGGGGTTTGCTGGCAGAGCTTTACAGATGTTAGTTCCCTTTGATTCCCCAACTTCCATATCCTTCTTCCCTCTTCCATCACAACCCTGCTCTTCCACTGCACCAAAGACACTTTACTTACCCAGGAAGACAATAACTCTCCTTCCCCATACAGATTTAAAATAAACCTTGAGTGAAAACTTACTTTTCCCTAACTAGTGCACTAATGTTTGAGAACTAAATTCCTTTCTTCAATGATAATCAAATAAATTTTAAACATAGCTTATCAGTTGGCACTTTAAAAAATACTCATTATAATATCCATAAAGCAAAATAGGAAGGTATGTGTTTATTTTTTCTAAAACTTTTAGATCTACAACATAAAATGAAAGTGGTTAGTATTCGGAAGAAGGGGGTGAAGTAGAACTGTGCTCCAACACTGTTGTGATTGTAAACCAGTAAGACACATTTGAAAAAGTAGCAGTTATCATCAGGCTGAAGCAAATACAACCTCTGATTTATCACTTTTCAATCTTTATCATAAAAAAATTCACATATAAACAAAGATTCTGCATCAAGAATATCATAATTACCTACAGGAAATCATGAAAACAATTTAAATGTCCAACAGATGCTTTGTTAAGTAAATGGCTGTTAGATTGGACTTACAATTTAGTATCATCAAATAATAATGTGTCATCCTTAAGTGGGACATTACAGAACACTATGAATGTACTCAATGCCACTGAATTTTACACTTAAAAACAATTAAGATGATATTTTGTTATACACATTTCTACACAATTTTTTTTAAATCACCAAAAAGTACAAACTATATGTAAGAAAAAAGGATGTTATAGAAAAATTTAAAACATACAAAAGTATTTTTTAGGTTAAAGTCTTCAAGAGTAAAAATATATGAAACAAAATACTGGAGAAAAAAATCATACATGTATTTATAAAAACTATAAATGAATAGAAAAAAGACAAAATCACTAGAGTGATTGTGAAATTTTTCTTTACTTTTTTTTTTCTTGTTTTTTTTTTTGTTTGTTTGTTTTTTTGGCATATTCTGAAAGCTAATCCTAGTTGTTATTGCCCTATAAATACTTTCTGTTTATAGCTCATTTTTAAACTGTTTACAGTTTGATCTCATACAAGTTTTAATATATCAATCTTTTCTAACATGATTTGTATCTTCTATACAACCTTTAAGAAATCCTTTCCTATTTCTATCCATTCCTACATTTTCTACTAGATTACATATGCTCCTATACCTACAATGGAGTTACAACCCAATAAACCCATTTTAAGCTGAAAATATTAAGGCAAAAATCCATTTAATATATCTAACCTACAAAACATTCTAGCTTAGCAACACATTAGAAACTACTGAGTAATGGTTTTTTGTCCTTGTGACTATGTGGCTGACTTGGAGCTGCAGCCACTGGCCAGCCACCAGGCGAGAGTACTGTACTTCAAGCCCAGTAAAAAATAAAAACTCAGAGTTCAAAGATCAGTTTCTACTGATTACTTATAACTTTAGCACCATGCTAAGTCGAAAAACTGCTAAAACAAATCACTAAAAGCTGGGAATCATCTAGACCTTTATAATTCTGCTTTCACATTTAGATCTTTCATCTACCTATACTAGATGTGAATTAGAAATCTAATTTTATTTTCCTTTCTTTTCTCTTTGGTGGGTCAGTTTTTTCATTAAAATAACTTTAAGGAAAGTCTAGATATTAGCAAGGCAAATTTCAATCTACTTTGTTCCTCTTAAATAATTATCTTGATTAATATTGCTATTTTATGTTCCACATGAATATTTTCAAGTTCCGCAAAGAAACTTATGTTTTTATTTGTTGTTTTGCTTTGTTTTTTTAAAGTTCAAAGATTCGAATTCTGGAAAGTTGACAAAATTATAACACTGGACTTCCACAAACTCAGGTCTCTGTATCCTTCTATTTTGTTTTTTCTCTGTTAATATCTTGTACATTTGTCAAAAATCATTGGGTATTTTAAGGTATTTGCTCCTATTGGGATGAAGAGGGCAATAATACGTTAGGACAGGGGTCAGAGGAGCTAGTTCACTCCAAGCCTTAGAGTATACAGCAAGGAGTTTCAATTTAAGTAGGGGTTTGTCAGGTAGCCAAATCTGTCCACTAGCTAATGTGGTACCTTTAAAAGAGGAAATGGCAAATGAGGTCAGAAAGATAACTAAGGGCTTGACTATGTAGGGCCTCTGTATCAGGCAGGAACACATTAAGTTCCAATGACAATGCCCAACTAGGGATTCACTTATCTCACACAACTTGTCTAGACATTGACACACCAGGCTCACAACAAGCAGTTTACTAATGAATGATACTAGGAGTCATTTAAGAATCTTTCCACTCTGGCATCCTTATCATATGCAAGCTTTCTTCTACTTGCTTATCACCACATGCTGTTTTCTCCAATCTTGATATCCAGGTTCCCAGGCAAGAAGTGAGAAAGGGTAAAGGAAGAAAAGACTTTCTCTTAAGTCTTTTTATTATTAAGGAAGCAAAAACCTCTCCAAATACTTCTACCTATATCACATTAGCCAAAAATGTTTGTCATCTGTCCACCTTCAAAAACAGGCTGGAAAGCCAAGTCTTTTAAAGTTCCTTGGGAAACAGGGCTGCCTTGAACAAAATCTAGTAGGTTAGTGAAGATGAATTTGGGTGAATGATCAACAGTATCTGCTGCAACTTGGTTAAGCCATGGGTAGAAGTTTGGTTTTCATTATACAGGGCTATTTATAAGGGAAATTACCTGATTCTGTTTAAGTCTTAATCAGCTATGTAAAAAACATACTGGAAAAGATCAGGAGCAAAATCAGAGGCACCAGTTAAGAAAAATTCTGCTTACTTGCCTTAGTCTAGCAAGAGTTAATGATGGCTTGGAATAGTAGTGGTAGCATAGATAAGTCAAAGACCACAGAACTGCAGTAGGTTTTTTTTAAAAACAAGAACGACAGGATCCCAGGATTATAACTTTGGCAAATCAGTTTATGGAGGTATGTTTGGGGAAAATCAAGATAAGCAGGCCAATAAAAAGCTCACCCTAAAAAACTACTCTTCACTAAATATTAAATTAAGTAACATGATTTGTAAATTTCAGCACATTCTTGCCCCTAAAGAATATATAAGAAGCCAAGCACAGTGGCTCACTCCTGTAATACCAGTGGCTCCGGAGGCTGAGGCAGGAGGACTGCGAGTTCAAAGCCAACCTCAGCAACAGTAAGGCACTAAGCAACTCAGTGAGACCCCCGTCTCTAATAAAA